GAGTTCTAGAACATTGTTCTTCATTCGATGTCCGAATGTTCTACGCGTCAAACCTTCTACGCCGATTATTACAGAAGCCCACGCGTGTATAAAAGGGGCTCCCGTTGCAAGCCAAAATCAGTCTCACCCCTGTGGTCGAACCTGCTGCTGCGCCGACTTCGACGCCCGCGACGCTCAGTTGTTATCATCTGTTTCCTTTTTTGTTTTGAGCAGAAGGTCGTCTCATTAAACGTTTTAGTTTCCTCGGTTATTCTTTGTCTCGTCAGCTCGTCCTTCGTAATATTTTGGTGGAGGTGCGGTGTAGTGCATCCTATGCCCGTAAAGCGTACCCCTCAAAGACATCCCGGCCAAGTGAGGTACTCAGCCCCGGAAGGCTACCCTTCGCCGAAGACACCGAGGCCCGAACAAGCCGTACCAACCAGGGACTGCCCCAGAGTTTGGTCAACTGCCAGGACCATCGAAGAAGGCCCAGTGGACCATGAACAGTCAGTCCTCGCAAGCTCTGGTCACCCTTTAAATCGTTTTCCTGCCTTTCACTCCACGTACACCGACACCCTTCAATGGCGGCGTCTATGAATACGTTGAAGATTGGCTTCATTATGAGTGATAAAACTGGCTGCGACAATGTCCACCATTTATACTGTCGCAGAGTTTAGAAGCACCACATTTGGGAAAAGCATTGGGGGAAATAGGGATCGCAAACGAAATCACGCTACGCTCCTTTGCAACGTAAAAGACGCGGGACGCAGCGGCTTGCGCGTTGCCATGACATCCAAACGTCCCTATTTACGCCACCTCCCATTGTATCTTCCCTTCCGCGGCAAGAAACAGCGAGCCCTCAGACGCGCGTAAGCCGGTTGCTCGGACGGCGCCGGTCGGCAGGCCGCTCAGTGTGTAAACTGGTTCTGGACGGCAGTCCGCGGCAATTGACGGCGCTCGGCAAACCTCCGTGACGCTAGTGTGGCCGGGCCTTTAGGTGACCCACGACTTTGAATATATATGGTATGCATCAGTTTGAACGGCACATGACCATGGAAAAGGGAGTAAGCGCGCATGAAACCGCCAATCCTCGACCGGTGGTTTTTGGGTGGGAAGAATACGAATTTCGAACCGCAAATTGTGTTCTGAGCAGTTGGGCTCTTGCTGGTTATGTTCAAATAAAAACCTCGGCGAGCATAAATACCTTGTCGGTGTCTCTTCGAGATAGGCAGGGCGGGGCGTGATCTGTTCCCGCGTCATGGTTCACCGCGTTCTTATCGGCTAATGTCACAGTCTGATTGGTGGCAGAGCGATAATCGAACTCTGGACTCGTCGCGCCCAGCATTTCTTAAGTAGTTTTTAGTATACGATTTCCATGGGCCACTCTATTGTCACTGACACTCTAAGAAACGCAGGGAATCCTATTATCACTCTGCAACCAAAAAAAGTGCGGCGTTAGCCAATAAGGAAGCCGAAGGACGCATCACGAAGTTGAAAGCGTGAATGCAATAAGTCCTGCGTTTCTTAACGTGTCGGCGACTGTAGCGAGGAAGGAAACACAGACATCGCGGATTGGGCGTTATTAGCAGACGTGTACACCGCTGCAGGTTTCATAAATAAAGTAACTGAACACAGTTACTCGTTACTCAACAAAAAAAAATGAAAGCCGTTTACAACTCCCTGTAACACCGAATTGGAGTGCAGCTCTTGAGGAGGAGGAGGGAAGGGTACTGAGGGTTACCTGTTCTCGGGGCGGGGAGGGGGGGGGGGGGGGGGGTCATGTGACCTTGGGAGGTCACGTGACCCCCGAGAAAAAGTTTTCCACTAGATTTTGCGGGAAATTTTTTCCGCTAGATTTAGCGGGGAAATTTTTCCGCTAGGTTCAACGGGAAATATTTTCCGCTACACTTAGCGGGGAATTTTTTCCGCTAAATCTAGCGGGGATATTTTTCCGCTAGATTTAGCGCGGAATTTTTTCCGCTAGATTTAGCGCAGAAATTTTTCCGCTAAATTTACCGGAGAAATTTTTCCGCTAGATTTAGCGGAGAAATTCTTCCGCTAAATCTAGCGGGGAAAATTTCTCCGCTAGATTTAGCGGGGAAATTTTTCCGCTAGACCTAGCGGGTAAATGTTTCCGCTAGATTTGGCGGGGAAATTTTTCGGCTTGATTTAGCGGGGAAATTTTTCCGCGAGATTTAGCGGGAACTATTTTCCGCTAGATTTAGCGGGGAAATTTTTCCGCTAGATTTAGCGGGGAATTTTTCCCGCTAGTTTCCGCTAGATTTAGCGGAGAAATTTTTCCGCTAGATTTAGCGGGGAATTTTTTCCGCTAAATCTAGTGGGAAAAATTTTTACGCTAGATTTAGCGGGGAAATTTACCCATAATGCACCGTGCGGTTACGCCGACGGCGACGGCGACGGCGATGGCAACGCTGACGGCGACGGCGACGCCGACGCCGCTCAAGCCGGAAACGGGCCCCTAAGAGCTGCGCTCTAAAAAGTGAAAGCCGTTTACAACTCCCTGTAACGCCGAATTGGAGCGCAGCTCTTGAAGAGGAGGAGGGAAGGGTCATGAAGGGAGGGTAGACCCCTCCTCCACCGCCCCTCATTCTTTTATATACTCCGGGGGGGGTCCCCTGACCTCGAGGGGAAGGGGTCACGTGACCTGGGGGGTGTAACGTGACTTCGGGGGGAGGGGGGTCACGTGACCTCGGGGGGGGAGGGGGTCACGTGGGGGTCACCTTGGGGGTCACGTGACCTTGGGGGTCACGTGACCTTGGGAGGGTTCGCGTGACCTGGGGGGTCACGTGGTCTTTGGGGTCACATGAACTGGGGGTCACGTGACCTTGGGGTGTCATTGGGGGTCACGTGACCTTGGGGTGACCTTGGTTACGCCGCCGCCGCTCTAAAAAGCAACTACATGGAGAGGTTATGAGTTCGGGGAAGCTCATCCGACCCCTTTCCACTTTAGCAAAGCGATGGCTGGAAAGGAGGTGACCTCCTCTCCAGCGTTCGCTCTGCTAAGGTGGAAAAAGGTGGAAAGAGCTTCCACTTTACTTTTAACTTGTCACCGACTAGAACTACGTTACTCCTTACTGCGATTTTAAAGGAACACGTTGCGTCAGCTTGAAAGTAACGCGCTCTTTTCTCGTTAGCCTGGATGTGTCAGTTTTATGAAGCAGAAGGGGGATCGGTGGCCGAGTCGGCTAGCGTACACCAGATCGGAGCTCGTGGAGTGAAAGCTCGCGCTGCAGAGCCCCGGGATGCTGGGTTTAATCCCCACCCCGGCCCGTTCCGATCTGGATGAACATCCTACCGGCGTGCGGTCGTGTATCGCTAATGCGTGGTGCATGTTAAAGACCCCAGGCTAGCGGTTGTACTGCACTGGCTAAACTGCTCATCTACATACATCTACATTCATAAACATACACGCACCCCCTATATGGAGCAGTGTAGCCGCTTTCAGCATTTTTCGTTGTCAGTATTTTCTTGATTTTTAATCCGCTTATTCAGAGTAGCTATACTCGGATACCTTGTGCGCATAATTTTATGGTCTATCTAATTTTCTCCACCTGCAAGTTACAGGCGGGAGCTGCAGGGAAAGTTATGGCTTGGGTACTTTCGTTGTTCGCGTTCATCTCCAGAAGAAACTAAAAGCCGTTAATCGTTACTTCATCAAAAGGTAACGTTCCGCGTTCCTTTTCTACCTAAGTAACTAAAGGTCGTTCCTTCTTCACCAAACAAAGTCAATGCACACAACTAATGCGTTTTATATAGGTCTGGACTGAAGCGCCGAAGGATAGTCACAAAGTGAAGGAGGTAGCGACATATTGAGAAACAGCGCAAAAAGGACGGTACACAAAGTAGAAGAAGGACGCAGGAAAAACGCTGACTAACGACCAAAGGTTTACTAGAACTCCCACGCGCGCACAGCGGCACGCACAAGCACATGCTCTTCTTTCTCTTTCGAAGGAGATAAATGCCAATAAAAAAAAATTAAAAAAATCTGAGAAGACAAGGAAAAGAAACTCCTACGGCGGCACTAGAAGGGCATTGCGAAACGTGTGATTAAAATAAATAATAAACGATTCTGACAGCGCCACCAGAAAACGATAAGATCATGCGCTGCGTACACCTCACGTTGATACCACGTGCACACCGCGTTCAGGACACAAACTGTACCTTCACAGATCGCGGGTGACAGTATACTAAGGACGGTCACAATTGAGAAATTGCAATTCCCTGTTGGTCAGATGCAGTGACGCGACACTAATGCAGTGATCTGGTCCACAGGCAAGTATACGCGCCGCTTCCATGATCTCTCTCTGCAACTTGCCCCTCATGCGTCCCACTACCTTTGTGTTGTTCAACGCAGGGGAACACTTACAATCCCTGCAAAGTATAGGTAGATGTGAACCGTGACCACTGTCGAGCTGTTTCTCAATATGTTGTTCAACCAACCAGTCGAGCAAGCTATACTGTTGAGGTAACGACAACACAGCGCGCTCCGTGTTGTCGTTACCTCCTTCACTTTGTCCCTGTCCTTCGGCGCTCCTATCCAGTCATGAACCAACTAGCACAACTGAACATTTTGCTGCGTATAGGCCTGGTTATTAGTAGAAACCAAAAACTTACACGAGTACAGTTAAGACTGCTTACGTGTAGGAAAGCGAAAGCCATTTAACGACGACGTGTAGGACAACCTCTAGGACGACGTCAAGAACTACGTGTAGGACGACTTCTAAGACGACCTATAGGACGACTTTAATGACGACGTCGAGAACGACGCCTAGAGGACGATGTCTAGCAATTCATTTTGGTTCCTTTTAATTCGCTTTCTTGATTTTATCTCCTCTGATTCGCCTGAGTGGTCACATAAACGTTTTGGTACCTTTCGTGTCCCCGACGTGCTTTCACTCGAGGACTTTGAAGGTCAGCTGAGCGATGAGACATATAAGGATTTCGCCTTAATAAATTAGCCAATGATTAAGTGAGTGAGTTTGTATGGTGAACACACTTACATGTTGCTCACTGCCATTGCCTTGAATGACGACAAAATCTTCGGCTAGGACGGCGCTTTTCTCCAAGGTCAGTACAAGCCCGTCTTCGATACGCAGTAGTTTTTCACCGTTGATGCCCCTCGCGTCGAGAAGCATGGGATATACGACACGCTCCAGAGGGGTTGCTTTAAACTTATCTAAAACAACACCTGGAGAAACGTTATCAAAGATGCAGAGCAAATTCTGTTCAGCACATGAATTTCATTTATAGTTATATTTATAGAAACATAGGCAAACGGTAGCGGTCTTCCCTGATTTCATTCGGGCAGTTTTTAATTTAGGTATGATAGAAGTAGTTAAGAATTGGAAGCATTCCCACCTGTCGTTTATCATTGGCGTGAAAAACATAAACGTCACTCTGACATGGATTGCTATGCACAAGCGAAATTAATGCGGAAAAGTAGAAGAAACAAACAAAGTGTGTTGTTTTCCGTGCTTTTTTTTTTTTTTTGGTTATTGTCATTCTGATTGATGTGCAGATTCCTCCTTCCAAGAGGCATTAAATAAACTTCGTTTCAAAGTAATGTCATTTCGGCAATCATACCGTACTTAAACTAATCGTTGATGCCAGCTATTCCATGCTTTATCTGAAATCCAAGAAGACGCTTTCTAAAGCGATTAACTTTCTTAGGATCTTCGGGCGGCTTTGAAATATTTCTGGCCGTCTATTTTCTCTGCAAAACTTAGCGGGGAAAATGACGTAATATGACTTGATGTCCCGTGGCCTCAACACTAATCGAGTCTGGCCGCTAAATTTAGCGAAAAAATTTACTTCACATGATCATGTCACATGATCTATACACAAATTCAGTTTCCCCGCTAAATTTAGCCGGAACAAAGACTTCACCCGATGTCATCGGACTCCCACACAAATTCAGTTTCCCCGCTAGATTCAGCGAAAAAATTGCCCTGGCATGATATCAGCACCAGTTCTGTTTCCCCCTAAATTTAGCGGAAAAAATGAAATCACATAATTTAATATTACGTTACCTCAAAATCAACTCAGTTTTCCCGCTAAATTTTGCTGAGAAAATAGCGTCACATAGCTTGATATCACGCGACCCACAGAAATTGAACCTACCCGCTAAATTTAGTCGGACAATGGACCCGTGACCTGACGCGGCTCTTTCAGTTATGTCGGCGGCTAATCGCTTAATTAGACAGCCACACAGTTGGCCTTGGTCGTATCTTCGTCCTCCAGAAATGTTAAAGCAGTCCTCGAAAGAGCGACGCTATATCGCCTGAGCTTCTTGACGCCGTCTCTAAAGCTCGGGAAAGCGCATTTTCGGATCGTTAATATCATCCATTGCGTATTCCTCGCAGTTTCGCACCTAGCACCAAAACCGCGTCTCCCACCTGGGAGCTGATACCCAATGGTTAAAGTGTTTCTTGATTGCATTCCCGTCGTATGTCTGACGGTTCGAACCATGCCTTAAGCGCGAGACACATGCGCGAAAAATTTATCCGATCCGACGTCCGATCAGGCAATACGACTGCCTGATCCGAAAAATTTGGTCGCTTCAGGTGTCGGATCGGCGATCCGACGTGCGTCCAACGCGCCAGATAGTTTCACACGGCGGACGGATTGTCGGATGCGTCCAACCAATGACAGCACAGCTAGCGCGAACGTCATGATGACGCACTGAGTCTGGCGGGACGAAGCGAACGCGATAACGGGACAGGCGAGGGGAAGCCGGACGCGTGAATCCCGCTGACCCATTTGAGAAAGATGGCCCAGCAAAGAATGCACGAGCTCGTAATTTCGCTCGTGCGAGTTGGACCGTCAATCTCGGACCATAGATGACCTCCGGAGTCCGCTGGAACGCTTGGATCTCCTGGGTCTTGGGAGGAGCCGAACGGATCGCCGTGTCGCATGCAAGGTCGGAAGCGTGTGTCTCAAACTGTCGCGTGCGACGATTCGGAGCGGCGTTCGGACTGTCGGATCGGACGTCGGATCGGACGATTCTGCCGTCCATGTGTCTCGCGCTTTAGGGTTGCACTTCGAAAGTTCCCAGAAGGTCGAAATTAATTCTCTGTCTTCCGTTGGGCCATGTCAGATAACCTTCGTTAGTTTGGCCCGGAAAAAACAAACAAACAACAACAACACCGAATTTGACTTTGAGATGACATAGAGAACAACCACTTACCACAAAATGAAGTTTCTAGTATAATAGCAAGCAGGAGCACTCTGTAATAATGCATGTCGTTTTTTGCTCATTTAGCACGCTAGATTCATCCCCGTGCGGTCAGCTTTTCTTTCGAATGATTCAGTCTGCCGTCAGCCTTTATTTTTAACGCCCGCATCGGGCGTCGATGTTTCTCTAGAAAGGTCAACACATCCAGTAAAAACGATGGCGCGGTGTTTACAGGAACTGTCAACATCGTGTAAACGTGTTTTTTTTTAGGTGTTGACCTTTCTCGAGAAACATCAAGAAACAATAGACAAGAGCAAGCTTATTCCTTCACGACCATACAGATTCCGTACAAAAGTGCATCAGCTGTTGGAAGCTTTGGAAGCCCTGCACAATGGTGGACACAAGAGCAACCAGAAAACCTTAAGCTCTGACAATGGTAACATTTCCGGTTTATTGTCGAATTCTGTATAAAATTTGGGAACAAATAAATAAATAAAAAAGAACCTATTAAAATCTTGGTTTTGTGGCACCAATAAATAAAACACGGATTGCAGAAAGCGGAAACGCCATGAGGGTACGACGTTAACAGCGGGGATAAGATGCGAAAGTTCAAAATCGCGACATTACCTGAATCAAGAGATATTAATGAAACACGAGATTTCTCTCTGATCTAATATTCGTAAAGCCAAGGAACGGCATTCTGGGCGTCAGTGACGTTTCTTTCAAGGAAAAATGCAAAACAATATGTTTTTTTCTTGTTGTTTTGTTGCTGACAAGACTTGATTGTCACTCAAGCAAATCATACTGACGCGCACACTATTACTGCCGTCTTATTTTTAGTGTATTGATGACATGGCTTCGAATCTGCCTTTTTCTTTGCATGCTAAACTTTTTGCGGATGACTGTATGTTATTTTCTAAAATTACTACAGCTCGCGATCAAGAGTTACTAAATGCGTCTTTGGGGTAATCAGGCACGGCTATCAATGTCAATAGGACGGTGTTTTGTTAATAGCCCAGACCAGACGTTCGTCGTCTTGTCTGGTTTGCCTCATGCGCTTGGCGTTTTATGCACGATCTTCATCGGTGGTGTTTGCCGCCCGCTGCCACCGCTGACAATATCGATGCCGTTCCCGCCATTGCTCTTCGTAGGCGCGTTACTCCCCATTGCGACAAGAGAAGTAAAATATACCTATTGCTAAATTACCCAATCATCAAGGAGAATGCAGGGAATGGTGTTCCACACGCCGCGCGTGCCGGCGTCTGCAGCACTAACTGTTCTAAAGCAAAAGCCTAAAACAAATAGTATCTTGCACGCGCGTTCATCGAGGCTTTATATTGGTTATTTACTTTGAATCTTTTATACGGGGAAGGCGTGCGCGTGCGGCGCCTGCGGTAGTGCAAGCGTAGAGTTTTTGGTCACGCACACGAAAAATCTACGGAATCCTAGCCATAAAGAGCTTCGCTATCTAATTCAAGCCCCGACCAGGGCGCCCCCAGCGGCAAACGGGTCCGTTGCATCGGGGAGCTTCTGCAAGTCACTGCGTTGGTTGTGCGTTGTAGTGGGTTAGCGCTGTAATTTCTGAGATGGCTATTCCGCACCAAGAATGCCGCAACAATTGCTGCGTGGTCGGCAAGATCGCGCACGGCACGAAGTACTACATCGTCCTTCGAAGCCGTACGAGGCGGAGTACTGCGCGGCCTGAGTGCGACTTGTGCATCGAGGCAGGTACGTGGCGTTCCTTACCTCGCAGTTCGCATTTTCCTTTAAGCTACTGACGAATAATGCGATTAATTTTTTTCTATCCAAGCGACGATGGAACAGCGTCGACACCGACGGCAAACTCTAAAGTATCCGGCAAATACTTCACCGGAATCGAGAAGTGGAATGCGGTCGCCCACCCAAGCCTACCCTTGGATGTCTCCAGCAGCTCACGGGAAGACAGTAGTGGGAATTACGGAACGGCGCGAAAAAAATCGCCCAGTTATTAGACAGTTTTAGTGGACCGTACGCCATAGCTTTGCGTACGCAAGGAAATTGCGGGTCGTGAGTGCGCATGCGCAGAACGCAATAAAAGGGCTAGCGTATTGCGTACGCACGCAACGCTGGGGATTTTGGGTTGCTGGCTAGCGGACGTTAGCGGATTTTGCGTTGCTGGACGCTCTCGAGAGATCTCGGACCCAACGAGAGCGCCAGTTTCAAGATGGCGGTTGCCTCGACTGGCGCAGCAAGTGCAACGTGGTGTTTTCGAAGTTCTGTGTTACGTGAAATTGCGTAATGTTCAGCTCGGCGATTCTTTCTGGGACCTACCGCGGTCGAATCAGATCGCCGTGTAGCTGAAGGAGTGTACAGTGAAAATGTACGCCGCTCGGAATGTGCGTCGACGCTGCGATCTGCTCAACGCTAAGCCTATTCTCACAGTCCATCGCCGACGGACGAACGACTCTAAAAGAAATCGCCGAAGTTCTCGCTATGCACTGAACATCAGGGTCATGAATTTCATTCCGCGATAGCATTGATAAAAGGTGCCGTTTCCACGGGACGAGTGACGGAGGCTCCGTGATCGAATTTGGCTACGCACTCGTACTCGTAGCCCCTGTACCCCGCAGAAAAGCGCGCTTAACGAAGCAGCTGTGGCTTGGTTTATTCTGAAATAAAATGACTGGACACTTTTTTTCTTCTTCAATATTTCTTTCCAGGAGCATGGTTGCGCTATAAGCACGCGGAATTCTACGGCTCTAGCAAATTTAACCAAGATCATGCCCAGTGTTCACTCGAAAACGTAACGCACAACTAAATTCGGTCCAAGCAGATCATTTTTAGCGTACGCTATCCTATTGCGTATTGCGTACGTAAGATCCAGCAACGCTATACTAAAACTGTCTATAGTCAAGCTGATTCAGAAATAAACGTACATAATTACCGCAGTCCACTCAACGCCAACTAAATTTTTTGCGGGCGCGCTTAATTTTGTTTGCGGAGTACGGCACTCCGTGACATCCGCTTGTCCGTCGAAACGAACCTCCTTCACGTCGTACACGCGGCCAGATGAGGGAGTTTTCCCTTCGTCATATTGGCACCACGGAAGAAGCTTTCTGGATTTGTAACCGCCTTGAACCCCGTCGTGACCACCACGGGAACACTGTACGCTGTGCTGCTCATTGCCATAGACCCATTGCCTTCAGGCAGGAGGCGCGAGCACGTCCGCAAGACGCGACCATGTTATGCTGGCAGCACCACCCAGGCGGCGCTGTAACGTTCGAATTTGCACGTGCTACGTTCGAATGCAAGCATCTGCCAGCATCTGTAAACGCGCGATAACAAAACGTATATAAAGAAACTAAAATAAAAAAAACAATAATTCTGCAGCTCGCGGCGTCAGCGTCCCATTAAACATTCCTTTCAACTTTATTACTTTATTGCTTTCTTTCATGGCTTCCGTGGGCCGTATGTTTCACTTTATTGATAGCGAAGCCGAAGCTACTTGCTAAAGCATGTTCCCCTGAACGATGCTCGCACTGCACGAGCGCGTGTGCTTGGCAGGGACACTGAAAACTCGGAGCTCGCTCTTCTAGCCTCTGTTACGCTGGCACTTAGAATGGAACGGAGTAGAAAAAAAAAACTCTAGTGTGAAAGCGTATTGACGCATGTTCGAAACGCGAGCCAAATATTCTATTTTGCTTGCCTGGAGCGCTGCTCAAAACTTGAGAGCTACGAGCATATAGCTTCCCCCCGATTATTCTGCACCGGCCACCGAAGAAGCTTTCCGCTTTCGTAATCGCCCACTGTCCTCTGTGCTGTTCGTTGCTATTTTTTCCCGATGATTTTGCGCCGGCGGCACCGGCTACCGAAGGAACTTTCCGAATTCGTAACTGCCTTGAATTTCGTCGTTATCACGGCGGCTGTTCGTCGCCATTGCTCCCCGATGCTCTTGCGGCGGCTACCGCTAGGTCGCGGAGAACAATAGGCGACCGCCGCGACACGGCCGGCTTGTTCGTTTCCTATGAGATAAAGCCTCAAAAGCTGCATACTCGTGTCCAGTCAGGTGACAAACCGTCAAGCCATTTCCGTGGTTGCGTGCACCAGCTGCGTATTTTCGGCACCGATTTGGTATCCAGGGGGCGTGGCAATGACGTCACGGATGTCAAAATAACATCTTTTATTTTGACATCTTATTTATTTTGACGTCAACAACATGTTTTAGGGGCGAAGCTTCTTAGGGGCTAGCCTTGTCCGTATGTCCGTCCGCCGTAAGGTCACGACCACGTGAGCACGTGCTCCCGTGCTCGTGTAGGGCAAAAAAAAACAAAAAAAAACCGCATCTCCACGTGGTGAATGATGTTGATTGGGGCGAAGCTCTGGTCGGGCTTGTCTGCGTAGACGCTGAGACGCAGCATGTTGAACCTTTCGTTCGTTTTCATCCATGTCAGAAAGAGAATGTGTGGTATGGAACGTGGTTATATAAACAATTTTTCAAGGAAAGGTAATTTTGTGGCTTAGGCGTCCTATGCGTTCTATCTACGTACTTAAAAAATGTTTCTTGAGAGGGTTCAGAGTCCCTCCGAGTCGGAGGTCTCGAAAGGCCGGCACGCCGAAGTCTTTCGACTATATACGCATTTGGGCAGTTGACATCAGCGTGACATGGATGAAAACGAACGAAAGGCTCGGCATGCTGCGGCTCAGCGTCTACGCAGACAATCACCACCAGAGCTTCGCCCCAATCAACATCATTTACCACGTGGAGATGCGGTTTTTTTGTTTTTTTTTTCTTGGATGCCGCTGACTGCATTTTTAAATGACGGTCGCTCGGCGTGTGTGTGGCCGGGTGCTCGGCGGCTCGGTGGTATCCGCGCTGGTGCGTGTTGTCAACGTTGCCGCCTGTACTCGTCGCGTTCTCAGGAACATCAAAATAAGCGTTCTCCATTTTCAAACTTCGCCCGGTACCGTCCGTCACTCCTGTTGCAAATGAAGATTGCGTGTACCAGAGGCGACAGAGCCCAGCCGCAGTAATTTCGTACGCATTTTTCTAGAGCTGTACCTGTTTGTAATACGACGGATTATCAGCCT